GAAGGCATATATATTTTTATTTTTATTTATATATATATATATATATACGTCCACACTCTGGGCTGTAATGTAGTCAGCTACCATACCATTATAGCCGGCATGGGACAAAGCTGTCACTTTAAAGTTATCCAGATTACAATATACTGCTCAGAATCCGTGTGCAAACTCCCAAGGACTCTTTGTCACTCCACTCAATAGAGATATGAAAGGAACATTCCACCTAATCAATTATTTAGGATTGTTGATTAGTGTAGAATCTTTCAATTCAATTCTTTCGCCGCCTGGAATTCATCATACCACTCGCTCTTCTACATAGTTTTGTATATATCGCACATTACCATAGCTGCGAGATCACTCCACAAAAGGAAGATAAATAGCCGTGACACAATTCATTGTTAAATTAAGATGAGAAGTGCAAACTAGATTTGTTTTATTTGGTATTATACCAGTATTTCTCCTTCTACCCGTCACATTTGCCCTTGGTATCGCAGTCGATCGCCTGCATCCACAAGTCCGCCTGATCATCCACCTTAGCCACTTTCTTCAACCGTTTGCCCAGCTCCTTCTCAAACGCTGTCGTATCGCTCGCACATCTGGCATTGGCGATCTGAATCTCTGTAAACAAATAGCTGCGCAGCTCCACAACAAGTGCCTGTCTTAGGATCGACTGTACCACGTGCTCCACTAACTGATGACAGTTTAGTGCCGTCCACAGCGTCGCCTGGGTGTGTGTGTCCAGATCTGCGTCACCTTTGAGCACAGTGTCTGAAGCGAGCGCGAGATCATGGGGTCCATTCGAAACTCATTCGGCAGACCCGCGCATGTGAAGCCAGAATCACTCGATATGCACTCAGTGCTCACACCACTGACTCTCTCACAGGCCGAATTAGGATTATTCCCCAACGAGCAGACATCGTACACTTCGCAGCCCTCACCATCGAATCCATCCTCGCACCAGCAGACGGCAGACGGCACCTCCTTCACCCTGGGTGCACGTTCCTCGTCCAGAACAAGTCCCTTCCTTGCACTTCTTACCACCCCTAGCTCGAGCCATAATTTCTCCAGTGTCTCTGCGCGTCCCGGGTAGGGCGATGGTGTACGCCATGGGAACGGCATCGGTATACCGGGTGTCGGGAAGATATGCACGGGTATCGCTTAAGAGGTTGCGGCTTCGGGCTCCAATCCTCCATGTCTGGCCCACTGGAGCATTGGCAAATCCAAAATTCTCCCACGGAATGACTAGCGAAACGCCAGCAGGACCATTGTCGACTACATTTACGTCGGCATTGGCAATGGTGCTGCAACCTGTGTAAGTAGAAGAGGCGGTCGGGTATTCGCATACCTGGTTTACAAAAGAAAAGTTGGGTTAGCGTGTGCTAATTACTGATACAAAATTTACAAAAAAAAAAGACAACACATCCTGGAATGCTAGGGAGACAAGCCTTACTTTGTGGTACTTGACACGCCAGCGCGCACCAGTCACGGCGGAACCGGTGTAGCCGTCCGTTTCGTCATCGTTATTATCAATATAGATCTCAAAAGGCGCATCAATAAACTCTTGGCCGTTCATCCGGTAGGTGCCCACGTCAACCACTAACCCCATAAGACACGCACCTATATAGAAATGAAGTTGGTTAGTGTGCATTACAACAGAGTGATGGAAAATGAAACGACTACGCAAAAATTAGCATACCCACCTACACCTAAGCTCGCAAAAGCGATTTCTTGGCCGGAGTCCGGATTTAGAGCCCCAACAGGATACTGTACAGTAGCGTAACAATCGCCTTTGGAAATCTCACAGCTATCCCCAGTCCATTCTGGCAGGCAGGTGCACACAGGTCCGGATCCACCGTTGCTGCATTCGCCACTGTACCCTGCTCCGGCGCACGCATTCGGATCCATTCCACAATAGTCGTACTCTATTCAAGCTGGTCCCAGCCAGAAGAGTTGGCATTGGCAGACATAGGAACCGTCTGTATTTACACATTCGGTGTTCGTCATAGCGGCGCATGCATCGAGCGCACACTCATCAATGTCCACACATGCTCCCCCACCGTCTTTCAAATAGCCATCAGCGTTCGGTGGGCACCCGGAACACCCCGTCGTGATACAGTGCCCGTTCAACAAGGCTGTGTTCTCTGGGCACGCGCAGGTGAACGAACCGGGAGTGTTGATACACTCCGAACCCGGTGTCAATGAGCAGATGCCGTCGGTCAGGCATTCGTCAATGTCATCACAGGTCAGATCGGCGTTCATTTGAAAGCCGTCCTCGCACACGCACTTGTTCCCCAGTCGAATACTTCCGGGTGGGCAAGAAAGCTCAGGCAGACACTGTAGATTCAGTGAACAAAGGGTGAGCATCATGCGAATACCCTTGACAATCGAGCAAGGAAGGGAAACATGTGAGGGTCATGATCAAAGTACATGCAGTAAAACATTTATAGAAAAAACAAAGGTTCGGACTAGAGTCCAAAGGATTTTTGATCACTAACTTCGTCCGCGTTCTCAACGCACTGATTTGAAATCATGGTGTAGCCTTCGTTGCAAAAGCAATCGCGATTCTCATCACAGAAAGCATTCCCCGGACACGAGCAGAGAGGACTATCCCCGAGGCATTCAGCGACAGTCACAAAGCGGTAGCCCATCTGACGCGCACGCGTAATCATGAACTCGGCGGTGATGGAGGAGTCAAACGCCGCCCCCCTGTCATGAAAGAGACCTATCCAAGAATTCTGGGACACAGAGATTTCTGCATTCAGCGGCGCAGGGTATTCTGTGGGGCAGCTGTAGCCTGACTCGGTATCACACCAAATATGAGAACTTCCTATGTCCGCGGTGTTTCCCTCTGTTGTATCTTTGCTGGATGCCGAGCGTTGTACGACCTTATAGCCGGCGGCCCCAAGCGCATTGGCGCTCAAATCGTCCATATCGAGGTAGGGAGGTCGCACATATCTGACACCGCTCGAGCTACGAAGAATATCTCCGTACACAAAGTTGGCAGCAAACCAAGCATTCTGCTCCTCGAGTTCAGCAATAAAATTGGGGTTCTCCGTGATACGCTCATGCGTTACAGAGTGGTGCGCGATTTGATGTCCCTCATCCACCATACGTTGAAGCACGTCGTGGATTTTCTGTTGCAACGCGGGGTCGTCCTCATCGGTGTACTTGCCCAGGACGAAGAAGGTGGCGGGTACGCCCAAGCGGGAGTGGAGATCGAGGGCCTTGTATGTGCGGTCAGAAGAAGAAAGCTCTATAGCTGGTCCATCGTCGTAGGTGATGGCGATTAGACCGGGACGGGTGCAGCGCCAGTAGACATTGTCATTAGTGGTCCAAAAATCTTCGATCCAGGTGTTACCTATATAACCATTACTAGTATATGTGAGAGGTTGCTGCGTACCCACGGGCTGAGCCAGAGTCAGTGCAGCAAAGCTGCTGACTAGTGCAAATAGACCAGAAGAAATATGTAGACAATACATAACAATATATGAACTATTTTGAGCGGTGGCCAGCACATATATGGTCGGCAAAGTTGTAATAGAAATCTCAACGCACAAGGGGCTACTCAATATTGTTTGTTTATTCGGGTATAATTTTATACATTACAACTATTTGTGTAGATGCCCGGATTTTACTCACTGAGAGCTTTTTCGTAATTTCCCTTCAATTCTCTCGATCACTACTGGATCTCTACTCACTAGTAGAGTCATAGACTCATGATGAATTGATGATTGATGGCAGTGATCTGTGACAACTCGCAACTGATACTTCCCTGGGGCTTGGATCCGTGGATCGGATGGTGAAGTTTTGGTATCTATATTCGTGTAAATACTCTTCCTCTTGTTTTGGACCTTCTCGTGATTTTCCAAAACAAATTAAGCTGGGAATGAGCTCTGCCTCTGAAAAAAAACAATCACTCTGTAGTGAGAATAGAGTGTACATACTCTACTCGTGCTCCAATCAGATTACAATAAATAAAACAATGATGCTCCAGTGTTGGAACAAAAAATATAAAGGCCAATCATACTATGCGTCCATAGCTCCGGAATTTGATACAGTAATCCCAGTCCGCCCAGTACACATATATATGTATGTATAAACATATATATGTATGTATAAACATATATATGTATGTATAAACAT